GTTCAGTTAACGAGACTGGCTTGCACGGTCAACTACGAATTTTAAGTTAGAATACTGACGCCACATTTTCTCTTTGATGTCTGTTTGATTATTGGCCAAACATGGAATTGTGCTCAACACTGATCCTTGAACGATACCAAATCGCTACGTGTTACCTACAAGAAGATTCCGTTACGTATTTAACGAAAAAGCCAGCTACACCCCAAGCGGCACGGAGGCTCAATAATTACAAACCGACAGCATTCGATCATAAAAAATAAAACGTATACATTCGCAACGTTATTATTATTGCCGTTGTGGGAATGCGACTCGCCTAAAGAATAATTGTTATTTTTATTCACCGCGGCAGGATTCTTAAGTTACAACGTAAATTTTAATAACCTGGTCGTCTTAATTGTCGGAAAATGTTTTAAGCGTCGCCAAGTCGTCAGGCTTTGGGAAAACTCGAATCGGAAACGGAATGGCTGTTTTGTTATTTCAAATGTTATTAAACTTTCCGTGTGTACGAGGTGTGGACAGTACTCTGTGACGTTGTTGTAAATAGGCACAACAGCCTAATTTACAATTCAGTTGATTTTAATACAGTATTACCTGCTTTAAGGTTTGTTTATTACCAAGGTGCTCGAGATATAATTACTTCTTTTTACGTTTCAGTTCCTTTTCAATGTCATACTATAAATTTTAGAAATCGTTCTCGGTTTCACTATCAATCTGTCATCCTCGCTCTAGGTTTGTCCTCACAGTAGCAGGAAACCAGTGTCTGACCTTTCAATGGGTATATGGATATACACTTACACAGTCAAAAAGTGTCCGAAGCATGCGGAATCATTTATAATGTAGTCTCCAAAATAACGTTATCATCTTATATTCAGATTGTTAACCGAATCAACATTGGTTTGAAACACGTTGTCTACGTCCTGTGAGAACACGCCTGGTATTAACCTCTAGTTAAAGTCAACTCTTCGACCAAAACAATTTTTTACTGACAGATATATAAAGTGAATTTAAGTGCCTCGTTTAGTACTGAATTCTGCCGGTTTCCGAGGAGGCATTTCTACAAGTTTTTTTTTTTCGAAATCCAAATATAGAAAGACACGGTCTACGGGTATAGGGCCGAGGAAGCGAGATGTGCGAAGGTCGTTGCGTTGAAGCATGTCGGGAATGTTCGGCAGTGTTGTCGGTTTCGAGCAGAATTTCGGAGCATCCCACGCGCCAACCGTCATAGTTTTTCTTCTTGTAAGTTGAGACCCGATTATTGAACTCGTTCGTTCATTGCCGATATCGATACTAATCGACTAAATCCTACACCGCACGATAAGCAATGTTTTTGACTGTGTTGCTATGGGTTAGCTCACGAGTTGTTAGAACATGAGACTGAATTCGTTAGATCCAATACCTTTTTCCAAGTCGATAACGAAAACAGTCTAGAAGTCATGTTTCGACTCCAACTTGCAAGTTGTCTTACAGTTGTCTTTGTCAAATCGGGAGATCACAAGCCTTTCCGTCTGATTGGCTGGCTCCTACTTGCAACTACTTGGGAAGTCAAGGGTACTCTAACAACTCAACTCCAAGGTGTAGTCGCCAACAACCAGGTGTCACGGTCGGGGAACGTCGGCCCGGACGAAAAGAGGAACGAGGCAGAAGAAAGTAAAAAAGAAACCCACGATGTGGTTTGGGGTTATCGAGGTTCCGTCAGCTAAAATCCGTCGATTGCCAAAAACTAATCAGCTAGATAGGTCGCTGTGGATTTAAACCCAAGACAAACTTAATATATCCCGATGGACTAATTTAAGAAGAGGATATTAAAAATGTGATGTTAGTTAATCATCGGTAAAAGCGTGGTTACACCAATAACCAACCTGTGTTTTACTTCGCCTGTCGATAACTACCCATTAGAAATACTAGGCAAATCTACCGAAATGTCAAGCAACATAACCAAAGATGTTTTGAAAATTGATCAATATATTAATTAGATCCTCTTACAAAAATACACTCAGCTCCAAGAGCTGAGCGACATTTTTTTTAATTCTGTTTACTTCTGATTTTAGATTTAGATAATATTTCCATGGATAACCAAGTTGTAGCATTATTTATTTTGTAAGAATGAAAAATAGACAGTTAGGAAATTTTTTAAACATGAAATAGTTTTGAATTACAACCTTAACAGTCTTAAATTGCTGCTTAAAAAAACTGTGAAATTATGAAAACATTAATTTCCTATTTCCCGTTTAGGGCCTGACCTGGAGTTTGGCGCGTTCTTCACCGATAAGGTAACACTACAGCGCTGAATATAATTGCAATGAATGGAACAAACATTAATACACTTAGGATTTTATTGTTTGCGTCTATCTACAAAATTATCGATTAAAACAGCAATAATACAACTTTCCCAAAATTTTAACTAATCAAAATGTTTTCCTATCCGGAGAGAGCAATAATTCCTCCAATTCGCCAAGTGCAAAGCACGACGACCAACAAGTTATCGTGCTGGCCGCTATAGTTAGCTATGCTAGGACTTTCCCGATTCTTATTTTGTTAATTAATCCGAGTTTATCGTGCCGCAAAAACCGCACTCCCATTCCGATAAACGGTACTGGTGGAGCCGGCAAACCGTAGATAAGTGGCGAGATAATTCTCTCAACTCGACGACGCGGGAAAAATGGTGAGATAATACCAAGACCCACGCAGATCCTCTTATTACCGTTTCATTCATTATACCGTGGAGTTGGGAGTCCTAGTTTTCCTCTAACAATATGGGTCATTACGTCTGGCCGGGGAGTCTGGCAGATAATTGGACTTCATGAATGCACTCGACGATGACTAAGACGTTCCCGTCCCGCTCGATATTCTTCGAGAGAACGTTTCACCTCGTTTCGTCTCTTGTTGTGTAGGTTCAAATTTTTCCTTCGATCGAATTGTTGATTATGAAATTTGCGTTTTCTTCTGTGGTTACATTTGCAAACTTTAAAACTTCGCCCACTGATGGCAAAGCGGTTAACCCGTTCCATGTACTCCGGTGTTGTTTCTTCTTTCTTGTTTTTCCTCGCCATTTTAGGTTTTTGGAAATTCCAAGCGAGTACCGGATTTAGAGAGATGCCTTTATTTCCACGCCTTCATTTCTTACGCTTTCTACATAACAACGAACTCGATACACAAATGGGTTGGTAATTTTATTGTCTTAGGTTGCTACCGACAGCTATGGTTAGTCCAAAACTATATCCGTTGCCAAATTTTTACAGAAATTTGAAAAAGCCTTCTCTTTTATTAGTAGGCCAATAACGAATCCGTACTGGACAGTAATGTGATAAAATAAAAGGCTATTTTTATTAAATTACTTGGGCATATTAAATAATGCTAGTGTGTTGAGCAAGTCAGTGTATTGTAGTTTTTGTGTATGCGGTTTTTGGAATTCTGTACAGCGTTTCATTATTCTTCTTAGTAGCTGTATATATTGTACTGGCAGTCGAAACGTTCTTACTCAACTACCGTCAACAAAGGTTCCAGTCCCGAATATCAAAATATTTACCTGTTCTGGCATTTTTATCTTCTCAATCACTACCATACTTAAAACAACCTGTTTAAATCGCTAATTATTTAATGATTTGGAGACTTAAAAAGACTCAAATAACATGAAAAAATACCTACCCTACGACGAACAAATTAGTTAAAACTAATTTATCAGTGTCTCATTTAAAATTTGATAAACAATACCCAAAAATTTGAGTCACCAGTTTTGTTTTGGAGCTCGTGCCAACACAACACTCTTGGCTTAAAAAGTTCATCAAACATGTTGCATACTATACTTTTTCTACGATCATTAGATATTGGGTACATTGTTACAAACGCGAGGTGGGTTCGGCCAATAAAAACAATGCTGGAGCGGAGTAGGAATAGTTTTTTGTTAATAGAGTGTAAACTGTATACCCGAACGCCTCTGGACTTTTGGAGCAAAACGTCAAACAAATGTCAAACAGCTGTTTTGGTATGCTATTGCTTTTGTATTTCCCGAACAGAACTAGTTTTTTGTGTGTTTATTTTTATCGTCCATTGTTATTAGTAATAACTTAGTTTTATAAAAAATATATTTGAACGACGAGGATAATGAAGAAGTCAATGTAATTCAAAAAATTAAGAACTTTGCAGAAGTCAGTTCCCCTTGTTAATAATAAATAGTTTGTCATCATACAAATAAAGGCAAATTCGACAGTTTCCCACTTTTGGGCATGTTTGCTGACAATTCGAAAGTATCTACTGAGTAGCATCTGACATTACCGCACGAATTGACAAACGTGAAAATATAAAAAAAAAATGACGTCATTCTTTAATTCCAATCATATTCTAGTTGAAAATTGACAATTAGTATTCCTTCCTAAAATTTAAAACGTCTTGTTGGACATTATCTTTTTTCATCGCAGTTCAACAAGCCGATATTCTCACGCACAAGTAGGCATTCGTTTATCATTCCGGGCGCCATTTTCACAATGGAAAGGCAACCCCCCAGAAAAGAATTCCACCGTGGCCGAACATATTAATGCGTCGTCCGCGGGGCACAATGACTTTAAAAGTTAAAAGGATACTGTTTCCAAAGTTCCAAGAAGCCGTGCGTCTACCTGTCGCGCTTGCTTTTTGGCATTTTTTTCTTTGGGATTATGGTCCGCGGGTCAGCAACAGGTATACGGGGCATCCTGTTTGGGATAAAGCCCGTATTAACGGTAATGTGCGACGGTGTAGGTGTGACATAACATGCGTGGGGGAGGATTGTTTGAACGCCGTTTTACCGACCGATACTTGAAAACAGCCGATTAGGTTTGCTAGAAACATTATATTAAATGGCCGCGACATCGCGTCTCTTTTGCAGGAGTCTGCTGACTATAATGAGAGAAAATACACGACCTAAACTAACCAAGAACCAGGTTAGACTGTAACCAAAACAAATATAAAATTTATTTGAACAAAAAACCGTCAACAGAGGAATTAAAAATCATAATTGTTTGTTTCAGAGCTGGGAACTTCTAGTCTTAAGCAAATTAAAGTGGGACATAGCCGCTGTGACGCCACAGGACTTTCTAAAGCACCTTTTAAATAGGCTGCCCATCCAGAGGTTAGGTTTCGACTACAACATGGTGTTGAACCATGCAAAGACACTCATAGCTTTATGTGCCAGAGGTAAGTGATCAACACGTGACGTAGAGTGCCCTAGTAGCGTTATGACACTTTTACCGAAAAACTAATGGGGATGCGAGTGGTTTTTAATTCATTAATTTGTTTAGTCATGTTATAAATTACTTTCGGCTTTTCCTAGATTAGTCTGAGTGACATAATCGGTTCGATAACAGCGAATTCCATTTTATCATCCAATGCGGGTCCAAATATATGTGGAAACGGCATCGTTCCCACAGATTATGACCCTGTCCGTTTTCATAGTTCGCAATGTCGGACGGATGTGACCTCCGCGCTTCTTCTTACTGCGAATTATTCGTCTTATTAATTTGTGTCAATTTTTCTAATGGCCCTAATTGTTTTGCAGACCCCCTCACTCGGTCGGACTGTTCGACCGGTCGCGAGAGGTCAAAGCTCCGACACGCGACATTGCGGACGTTGAAAAAAAAAGTTGAGCAGTGATTCAATCAAAATGCCATAAGTTTTTGTTTCTTCATTTGCGACTGAGTATCATTAATCTATAGCAAATTTTGATGACTCATTAGTATTGGGAAAGTGAAGAAGATTCTGCACGAAACACCCAAATGAAGTGTGCCTTTATTTTCCGTGTTGGGCCAACCAAGCTGTGAGATATATGATCTCTTCTGGTTAACTCAAATATCGACAAGTTTTTTTTCAATTTTCTGAGTTCTATTTTCAGTTATACTATCAACAAAATCGCAATATGTAAAATTCGAATTCATTAGATATTTAGTGCTAAGCTTTAAGTATGACATAACTTTGTAACATCTCCGAATTTCAGTGAGTGTCACCCTACCTTTATTGGCGAAAAGCATCATAACATTAGTTTCTAGTCGTATTTTCTAAGTCGCATCAAACGACTACATTCAATATTGCATTTTTGCGTATTTCTGCCCATCTTTCGAAGTCGCATCTTTATTAATCCTTTTCCTTTTTCTTGTTTACCAACAAGCTATATGAAAAAGTGAATGAATATAATGGATACTTCACTCCTCTTTCTAAACATTATATAATCTTACGAATACGATATTGGACACTTCTTCCCCTCTTTCTAAGTCATTTTTATGAAACTTATTAATCTCCCTTGCTAACGAGCGGACCATATAGCTACTAGAGACATAGAGGTCCTGCCCTGTTGTATATATTGCTTCCTGTCGTCGTATATGATGGGTCACCAAAAAAGTAACGACAAAATGGCCTTCGAGGTCTTTCACTTAGGCAATTAAAAACGTTGCGCAGAGGATGTACCCGCAAGTGAATAATGATCGGTCGTGCGTATATTTTGCATTCATTGACTGGTTTGGTTCGGCGTTAAGGGCACAGCCGCGGCAGCCGCAGTGCCCGATTCCCACAATGTCGGGAATGCGACGACGGTGGGTGTCGTTCGTGTGTGCTTTATAGGTCTCGAGTGCCTTGAGCGCGAGACCGCCTTGTTTTTTCTTTCCACTGACCGGTAAGCAGTCTTTGCCGAGTTGCCGCGTTTCCCCGAAACTCCTCGAGAGTCCGCCCTTTTAGTAGAAACATTTACAAAAAGATTGAAATTTGTCCATAAATAAAACTAAGAAAACACCTAAGTAATACTACTTTAGCTTACAAGTTTAATATAATCTTTAAAAAATAAAAAAGAAAAAAAGTATTAATGAATGAATGAAGGCAAAGTGCACGAACCATTTCAAATGAAAAAGAATAATTTAAAAGCAATTACAATTTAAAAGTGTATACATAATGGCAAATGGATTAAGTTAATACGCAGTGGATTTTGAAATTATAGAAATATTTACTGTCTCTTTCTTTTAAGAACACACTCGGAAGGCATTAACGCAACCATCATATATATCAGATATAATTATATTTTAAAATGCTTTTTAGGTAAACATGTGGACTACGCATTATCTTACACGGTAATTTAATTCATAACGTCACGAAGTCCTTTTGTCATTTTTGCATAAAGAAACAAAGAAAAATCAATTTTTCTACTCCCTTTTGTTTATTAAGCACTCGCTTCGCTCGTGTCAAATAGACTCGTTACTAAAATTTTTAAGGATGTATTGATGCGTTTGTTAGGTGTTAGTTTGTCATAAACCGGTATAGTTTGGTCTAGTTTAGTACTTGTCACTGTCCTCAGTTAATTAATCATACATCTTAATTAGTATATCATGAATTTTTTATCTTTCTAAGGAGCCATTTGTATATGAATCGTGTTAGACAAGAGACTACTGTTTTGACAGTAACGACGTCACGCAGAGTAACATACCTCTCTTTAAGCGCAAAACAACTGTTCAGTTTTGGTGAGTTTCATTTTTTTTATAGAACTTTGCCTATGATTTTTAATGGTAAAACTATATAGAAAGAAAATAATGTTTTTCCACATTCGTTGGTGGCTAACAGCCGTCAAATAGCTAGACGGACCTTCGTCTCAACTATTTATTATTTCTAACGATTAGGTGTCGACAAGTTTCTGATTTTAGAGTTATTTGAGGTTTCTAACAAGTACTGCTGTAAACATTAACGAAACCTTCCAGAAATACCCAAAAAAGTTAAAAATCCCATCACAAGAAACTAATGTCATTAAAATCAAAGTAAAGGGCACCGTAAGAGTTGTTATCTATAATAAAAAACTTACAGAAAAGAAAACAAAAAATGAGAGGAAGAAAAAAAGAAGACGCCAAACGGCGGCTCGCACGTTATTTGATTGAGCGTGGTAACACCCCAAGTCCGTTACGCTCGCGGCGAATTTTTGCCTAAATTCCAGGATCGCTCGGCGAGTTGGCAACGTCGCGTCCGCGTAAAAACAAAACGCGGGTGGCCAGACGGTGGACCGTAAAACCTCGGCGGCAGGCGTAAAAGCACAATTCGCGGTTTCGAATTATCCGCCTCGCTCACCTCGCGCCCCGCGACACTCCTCCCACCCTTCTACGACCAATCAATCAATCCCTGCCCACAGCGCATTCTTTCGCGTTCGCCATTTTGAAAACGCCGCGACCGATACCAATGAGGCATTAAAACGACCTGCCAAGGGTGTGCGGCCCTTTAGGGACGATTTAAGCGCGCGGCCAGCAATTCGTGTAAAATGGCGGCCTTCAGAGCGATCTAATGCTGGTTTTAATTAACACAAACGTTATAAGCCCTTTAATATTCCCTTAATAAGTTTTGACATTTTGTAACTCTTGCGACACGCTGCGAATCACATGTTCGATGTCTGGATAATGATGAGATAATGTTGCCTCGTGACGTAGACGTTAATCATAAGTACTACATGACACCAATGTCTCAGTCTTCTATTTAACATATTATAAGTCCGGTAATTTTACGGGCCTTGTCGGAGGAGGTTTCTAGTATCGTCTGTCTTAAAGTATATCAGATTGCCTTTTCACGGCAATTATCGAAATAACCTGCTGACGGCAATAAAATACCGGACCAATCGGTATTGCATAAAGATTAAATATTCTATTACGTTTGTTGAGATACAATAAAATCACATTAGCACTAATGAAAAATACGTATCTGATGGTAACGTCGCGGAGTCCCTTCGTCATTTTTACATTAAAGAAAAACTTTTCAATTCTCTTCCGCTCCGCTCGTGTTAAATAAACTCGTGACTAAAATGCCGTTTACCACACTTGTTTCGTAATATGCTATTATTGCTCTCTCAGTCGACAGTTGTTGAAGTCATATTGATGCGTTTGTTAGGTTTTAGTTTGTCATAAACCGGCATAATTTGGTTTGGTTTATTACTTGTCCCTTGTGACATTAAATTAGTGATATACTCGTACTTACCTATATGAGTACAGTATTGGGTGTTGGGTTTAGCCAGTAACATTAGGTATGCGAGAGTTTTACGAGAGGGGCCTTTAAAAGCCAAGATATACTTTGAGACAGACCATAATTGCAGGGGTTGTGGTATAACATTGTCTTGCCGAAGGTAGTTTTTAATTGAGTGTTCACATTTCTGTACAAAAACTAGGGGAACTATGGCTCACCAAACGATAGCGCCTTTAGCAAGCGCCAGGCGCATGCTCCATGCACAATTGAAGTTGGGGTGGTGGGGTCTTTTTCCCGCGTGGCTCTTCACTAAAAATTTCACTTCTGATTCTAGCCAACCTATTCTTGACACTACGATAAATTAATCTAATGGATATCTGTATAGGATAGGAGAACATATGCTGAAACAGTCTCTTAGGGCACCTAGTTCTAGGAGTCATTTTTCGCGTATGATGACGATGTACAGACCACTCTGCCGAATACACCATCACTATTATATCATTACAGACAATTATTTCTACTATCCTACCTGGACATATCTACAGGAGGCATTGTTAAATGCTCTTTTCAATATTTAAAGGCAATACATTTGAATAGCTATAAACAAGTTCTCAAAAATGATAAAATCTGATTATTTTTTTGTTTAATAAAATACCTGGTTATAGGTATACAAACCGGGAGCAAATGTTATAGTTTACTACAGTTCATACAGGCAACCAACCGACCAAACACTATAGATTTAGCAAAGGATATACCAGGTGTTGCAATTTATGAGTATGAGTAATGCTGATGAAAGTTAGTTTAGCGGGGCGACCAAAGTCGTTTAAGGTTTTTGGCAATCTATGGTGCGAGGAACGTAACATGGAAAGAGTTACCGTCTAAAATATCGGCAGCGAGAGCAATATTTATAATAATAATATAAACAAATATAATATAAATATCCATATTGGCGATCTTCTTTTCGTATCTTTTCCGCGCGAAGCGAATTAACGAAACCGAAAGCGAACAATTCGGCAAAAGCAGAGGCCACATTTAGGTTGACTCGCCTTGGCCAGCACATATCAGAACGTGACTTTCTGGTGCCTTTGTACTGTCTGCCGGCCAGATTTAGGTCCGGCGGATAGCAATTTTTTATCATCGTCCGTTTCTTTCTTCGGTTATTTAGATTCGGAATTTCGTTCCCTTTGTGCTCGCTGGTCGTATACGATCTAATCTCGAAACTT